GTACTGGTTCTTGTAAAGAACCCAAGTTCAGCTCCCAGTAGCCACATGTTGGCTTACAACCATTAATAAATCCAGTTCCATGGGGACTGATGCCTTCTTCTGACTTTGCAGGAACCAGACATGTTACACATATATACTTGCAAGCAAAGCGCCATCCCAATTAAATAAATACACAAACACACCCATGTATGTATAAATATACCTATATCATGTTGAATAAGTACACAGACCTATAGTTAGCCTGTCAAAGTCTTCACACTTGGCATACTGATCATACTACATATCAGTCCCTTCATCTGAAAACAAAAACTAGTTTCTTAACAATGAACATCATAGATATAACATGAGGATAAAAAAGCTAATACATAGAAGGCACAAGCAAAGCCTGGTGCAGAGCATGCTCTTATCAATACATTGTGTATTTTTATGTTGCTGTGTAAAGTACATGGCAGAAGCAACTTAAGGAGGAAAGATTTATTTCAGTGTATAGTTCGGAAGCTATCAGTTCATCATGGCAGGAAAGGTATGGTGACAGACTGGGTCTGTGGCAGTGGGAGCAGACCAGAAAGCACAGAGAGCTCAGGCCTGAAGCAGTACTGGACTATCACTCACACAGCCATCCCCCTGTCCTACTTCCTCCAGCTAGGCTCTACCTCCTAAGGCTTCACAACCTTTTAAAACAGCATTACCATGTAGAGACAAAGTATTCAAGGTTACGGGGGATATTTCACAGTTAAGCCAAAATAGGAGCCCAATGTGGTTGTTGAAATCTTTAATTCCAGTGCTCAGAAGGCAGAGGCAGTAAGATCTCTATGAGTTTCAGGCCAACTAAATCTACATAGCTAGTTCTAGGCCAGTCAAGACTACATAATGAGAACCTGTCTCAAAAAAAAAAAAAAAGTCAGCATCAGTCCACATAATTCAACTAAATGTTTACATTTACGAGGCTGAAAAATGCAAACATCTAAAACAAAAGTATAAAACAAGGATCCTGAGGACTAATAAGTGAGAGTTTGAAGGGATTTATATACATTTCTAAAACACACAAATGAAACCTAGAAGCAATTTGAAAGTGGTACCTTCCTGCAGCCTGTCTACCTACTGTACACTTGAGTAGGTTCTCCATAGCTTGCTACTGCTGAGTGAAAGAAAGGACTAAGCCAATGTAAGTGAGTACCAAACATAATTGCAAAATGCTTTGAAACTTTGCTGCAGCTTGGTTTTGCATCACCAAGTTTCTAACATATGTATGCTATTCAAAGGAATGTATACCACACTACCTGATAACTATTGAAGAATATTTTAAGATTTATTTTTACTCTTTTTATTTATGCATATATACACACATTCTGTCTGAGTGCATTCTACCTGCCATACAGAGGTATAGACAGGAGCCCATGAAGAGGGCATCAAATCTCCTGATCACATCCACATTTCTAAAAACAAACTAACAAACAAACAAAAACACACTTTAATGCTTGGCTGTAGTGGCATAAACCCTTAGAGTTCGGGCACTCGGGAGGCAGAACAGAAGCAGGTGGATCTCTGTGAGTTCCAGGTCAGCCTAGTCTACAGAGCTAGTTCCAGGACTGCCAAGGTGACACAAAGAGACTCTGTCTAAAAGAAAAAAGAAAAAAAAAAACCCTTTAAGCCAAGAATGATGATGCATACCCATATGTCAAGACTCAGGAAGCAGAAGCAGGAAGATCATGAGTTTGAAGTCAGCTGGGACTGTGTAAAAATTCTGCGTCAACATTAAGCATGGGGTTAGCCCATTTCTTGATTGTCAAATAAAGACAGAATTTTTTAATGCTTTATTTTTTTTAGTAAAGGGATGTGCATAGTATGCACATCACTAATCTAGCACTCAGAGGGAATAGACAGGAATATCAGAAAGTAAAGGCCATTTTGAGTTGTGGTGCACACTTTTAACCTCAACACTCAGAAGGCAGAGGTAGGTAGATCTGTGTGAGTTTGAAGCCAGGCTAGGCTAAAGTGTATTCCAAGACAGTCAAGGGAACATAGACTTCTCTACATGAGGAGTTAGAGGTCATCCTGGACTACATAAAAATCTGTCTCAAAAACAAAACAAAACAAAACAAAAACAACTAAAGAAGAGAGTCATGATACTTGATGGCAAAGGACTGTAATCCCAACACTTAGCAAGTTAAAACAGGTATGCAGTGCACTGAGTGTCAACTTGGGCTACAGGACTACTTAATCAAATGCGGTCACAAAAAGACTAAAGAGGGGCATTCTGAACTGTCTTTGATGAAGAATGCTGCCTGACTCTAGGACCTACCTTTTCTTGCTCAAATAAATTGTGTTAAATGTTGCGTGTGAGAGATGGTAGGTTTGGTGACATTTGCTTGGAAGATGAAGGCAAGAGAACCACAAGTTCAAAGCCAGACTCACTTATGTTAAAGTCCTGCCTCAAAAACCCAAGGGCTAGGAGTGAGTCAAATATAACCCAAACTCATTTCTACCAAGGAGAGTAAACAGAAGTTCCTGAGGAAAGACAAAGCTTGTCTCTGTGCCAGTGGCAGACTAGGCAGCTCACACTGACAAATCCATGGGCCTAGAAGCTAGAATACTTTCATTTCTGCCTCCAATTCACAGATAAGGGAACTGAAGCATGGAGCAGTAATGAAGCATTTTACACAACACAATAGTTTAGTTGGGATGTAGTTCAGTGGTAGAGGGCCCACCCAGTTTGTGTGAGACCCTAGGCTCGATCACTAATATCAGAAAAGGAAATAATCAAAACAATAGCTGCAAATGTAAACTAGCCATAGAGTGCTTATCTAGCATATACAAAGCCCTGAGACTAATATAAAGTTAATCACTATTAAAAAGAAGGCAGAGAAGCCCTTGTCCCTATAGTAGCTAGTTCTTGATTCTAGCTTTGCTTAAACAGCAATTCTGATGGAGGGTGGCAATGACTGATGGAGGAATTACCTATTTGAAAATACCAGATACCTTGATTTAAAATATTGCTCAATGGTGGGGTGCAGTGATATGTAGAGTAAAGCCTGTATATCTGGCTTTAAATGACAGGTATAGTAAAGCCTTTGTGTCTGGCTTTGAGAGAAATGATTCAACAAAGCCCTTGCTATGTGTGGGTTAATCAGTAGAGGCTGAAAAAAGACTGCTTAAACCTTGAAGTATTGTTTCTCTGGAGTCTGCACGTGGTGCCACACGAGAGCTTGCAGATGCACTGATCTTGGTCCTAAGACACTCCTGGCAGACCTGGAAAGCCACAATCAAAAGGAACCTTTTTTGATTATGTATGTGGCTTATCTGCTCTGATGGGCAGAAAGAGCAAGATGACTTTGGTAACTGGAAACTTTTTCAGCCCCAATTTAAGCTTGTAAAATCGTTTGAATAAAGTAACTAGAGGGAGCTAGCCAGGTACCAGTCTTTTCCAAGAAGGCTGGACCCCTCTGCTCCTTTGGAAAGTGAAGGCTTAGCATCTTGGCGATCTGTCTCTGCTGTGCAAACTATGACCCAACATCAAACAATAATGGAGTGTTTGCCTCACATACTCAAGGCCCAATGTTAGACACCAACACCAACAAGCTATATGAAACAGCAGAAAAGGTGAATCAGACTCTCCTAAGGCAACATCCCAGGAATGTGCTCCCTAGGTGACTCTTACAGTTTAAGATGCCACACACTAAGAGTGTACCTACATAGTCATTTTCTGTTTATCACAGATGAGCTCCTTCATCTCAACCCCTCGATACTTGCTTACTTATTCGTCCATGTGCCAGGCATTATCAGGTCAAGTTCAGCTCTCATGTGTTTCAGACATCCTGGTAACTTCCTATGACAATAGAAGTTTGCTGACGATTGGAAATGACTGAATAGATCTAAACACATTTAAAGGGCATAGCTTCCCAGTCGGTGCAATCAGACTACTTCAACACACACACACACTACATTTCCCATGGAAGCAAGGGAACTCAGAAGGGATATGACCACACGTCAATGCTAATTATTCACATTTCCCATATTTCGTTCAGAATCACGGTGGCTCCTCTTGGTTTAACAAGAGTTCTGTTTGGCTACTAATGTTTACCAAGGATATGACTTAAGAAGCAGATTATCCAACTGTTGAGGCTTCAAATTTCTTGTTATGGAGTTCTCTGCTGCCACCCTCCTCTTCCCTCCCTTTTGTGTGTGTGTGTGTGTGTGTGTGTGTGTGTGTGTGTCCTGACCAAATCCCACACTACATCTACGGATGTGTATGTGTGTCCTGACCAAATCCCACACTACATCTATGGATGTGTGACTATGCTGCATTTTTCCCAGCATGCCTAAACCCAATTACTTAACGATTCTCAGGAACTAATAAAGACGTTTAGGTTGTTCCCCACAAAGTCCTTTTAAAATCCATCGTGGCCCTGAAAACCAACATTCCTTAACCTTTTATGTAAACTCAATCCTCTACTCCAGGCAACGCTGCTGCACCTCGAAAGTCTGTCCTGGGGATAGGCTGCAGTCGGTTGTAAATCTCCTCAGTAAATGCTTGGGACGGGATCAGGCTGTCACTTGGAGTTTCTTCCATGAATCAACCAGGCCCACCTGCAGAATGCTCTTGTGTTTTCCAGAGGTTGAAGCTATAATCTCTCACGTCAGCCTTACCCAGGGCCCTTCCGGGCGTGCAGCAAGCTGACTGGACGTTTGCCACAAGAGGGCGCTCCCGAGCACGTGTCTGTCTCAATCTTTAGTTCTCCAATTCAGGTTTGCTTCGAACTCGTCATTCATCGTTCTCCTCCGTAGCCTCCAGAGAGCTGGGCTCTCCTGCGTGTGTCCAACACCCCGGCCTAAAATAGGAAGTTATGAACGCATCCAGAATCCAGCCTCCAAGCTCCGTGTGACTCCGCCCCTCGAACGGCCGCGGGGAGCCAAAGCCTGGGCTCCAGCGAGGCTCCACCCTTCTCCTCCGCTTCACCTCACTGCGTGTGCGTGCACGTCACAGGCTGCGACTCGGGGGTGGGAGAGGCGCTGCGCGCGAAGGCCTTCGGGCAGCCAATGGACGATCCCGACGGAGGATTTCAAATGTGGCGGCGCTAGTTGTATCCTGCCTGGCAGAGCGGGAGGCCAGACAAGCTCGCGGTGCTGTGAGCGGCTGTGAGCCGCCGAGGTACGGGGCGGGACGGGTGGTGAGCACCGGGGGCACCCGACGGGGCTAGGCCTTCAGCTCGCGGGAGTGTGCACCCCGCGCTTGGCAGGGCTTTTGCTGTAGCACACATCTTGTAGGACGTTAGCTTGCTTAGTTTATGCTAGCAAAAACTCCTTAGATAGGACTTTGATTTTAAAGTATCTAACAGGGGCTGAGGATGTGCCTTGCTGATAGATTTTTGCCTAGCATGCACAAGACCCTGGTTCAATTTCCTGCGCGCCCGCGCGCGCGCACGGAAACAATCTGTAATCAATTTTAACTCCACCAGTTATTCAATCTCAGACATCTCTAGTGCAAATTTTAAAAACTTGGTGGTGTTAGGGTGGATGTCTTACGCAACCTATTCGTACTTTAAAAGAGTAGTTGCATTTATTCTGTTAGGCACCCCCTCCAATCTATCGTACATATACATTGGTAGAAATACCTTTAGATGAGATATGGAGTACCTATTTAAGGCCCCAGATATGCACGGAGGAAAAATAAGTCCTGGGGAAATTACCCAAGAAAGGAACAGATTCAAAAAACCAAGAGAAGAGAATCCGTTGTGGTGAAATTGTATGTGTACATTGCGGGTGGCAACAGTTTGCAGTTTGGAGATCTGGAAGTTGTAGTCAAGGATACAAACTTAATGAAAAGTAGCCTGGCATGTTGAAGCATGTCACTTTGCTTTAATCACATTGATGTTTTAATATGAATGCATGTGTTCTCTGCCCCCCAAATAAATAATTAGTAATAATTGCTAAACAGCCCCAGATATCCATATAATTGCTTCTGAACTAATACTGTAATCCGAAACACTAAAGGTTGGTCATAAACATTGTAAGAAAAGTAAGGCAAAGTGGCTCGCACATGTGGTTCCAGATACTCAGGAGGCTGCGGATATCAGCGCTCTTAAGTTCAAAACCAGACTGTGTAACATATTCAATAAGCGGACCCCATGGTGCTTAGAATATTGTATGCCTCCAATGAGTATCTACTAGAAAATGAATAGTTGACACTTACTACTACTTTCTTATGAAATGGCAGAAGATTATTTCAGAAACATGAATGACATTTTACAGGATTTTATTTTTCTTATCATGAGCTTGATTCTAACATCTGCTTTTGTTGAATTGTTTTTGAAATGAGTTTTACCATGTAGCCGAAGCATGAATTCATGATCTGGGTGCCATAACCATCTTAGTAGCTTGGATTATGCCACAACACCTGACTTAGTAATATTAGTAATATTTTATTATTAAAATTTGTAATATTTTAAAGCTAAAAAACAAAATTACTGCCTTTTTTGAAGTTTACAATTTAGTCTTTCCTTAATTCCTTTTTCCTAAATTTTATATTTGAAAGTATCTGAGAAATGTTAATTGTTTTTTTATTCATAGACAAAGATGGTTAAGGAAAGGTGTCAGAAAAAGTCCTTTCAAGATAGTCTTGAAGACATTAAGAAGCGAATGAAAGAGAAAAGGAATAAAAACTTAGCAGAGGTTGGCAGACGCAAGTCCTTTATCGTTGCACCATGCCAAGTACCCAGTAAGAGACTTCTATGATGTCTTTATATACCATTCTTGTGCGCTAGTGTGGCGTGTGTGTGTGTGTGTGTGTGGCGGGGAGCAGGGCTGTGCTAGAGGAGAAGTTCTGGAGCCGTGCAGAACTCTGTTCTATTCCCCTGCAAACGGTCTCTTACTGAACCAGAATTAGACTGGCAACTATCCAAGCTCCAGAGATTCTCCTGTGTCCATAACCCTCCAAAACCTTAGCTCCTTTCCTGCTCTGACACACAGTGATGGGGTTACTTGTGTGTATGACCACATCTAGCTCCGAATGTCCTCTGGGCTTCATTGATTGATTGATTGATTGATTGCTCTTAACCACTGAGACATCTCTCCAGCCTGTTTCACCTTCTAGGTGTAAGTTTAATTGAAATTTTTATCTTATAGCTAACACTGCTACACTGCTGAAAAATTACCAAGATAACAACAGGTTGTTAGTTTTGGCTTTGGAAAATGAAAAGTCCAAAGTGAGAGAAGCCCAAGATATCATCCTACAGCTGAGAAGAGAATGTTACTATCTTGCATGCCAGCTATATACAGTGAAAGAGAAGCTAACTTCCCAAAAAAGTGAAGACATTGATCAGGTATGTTCATTACAAAACTTTCTTATATAGTTTTGCCGTATGAAGTGCAGCTTTATAAAGCTCTTTATTTTAGATATGGAAAGTATTCTAAATACTATTTGGAGAATCACTTAAAAATAATTTATTATGTTTATTTATTTAGGTGTGTATGTGAAGTTCAGAATACAACTTCCAGGTGTTATATAAACATGGGACATTCGCGTACCTTCACATATAATATGTGCATAGTAGACAGTGTAGAAAATAATTGCTTTCTAGCAGATGCTATTTCTTCCGGGTGCAGTTCACACCCGTGACTTGTGACTCCAGAACGCGACATGCTAAGTCAGGAAGATTCAAGTTATTGGCTAATCTGAGTTGTACAGTGTGAGTTCTTATCTCTGAAAAGAGACTTCTAAGATTTTGTTTTTGTTTTGTTTTTTTGGTTTCTGTAGTAGTAGTAGTAGTAGTAGTAGTAGTAGTAGTAGTAGTAGTAGTAGTAGTTTTGTTTTTTTGGTTTCTGTAGTAGTAGTAGTAGTAGTAGTAGTAGTAGTAGTAGTAGTAGTTGGTTTCTGTAGTAGTGGTAGTAGTAGTAGTTGTTGTTGTTGTTGTTGTTATTTGATTTTTCGAGACAGGGTTTTTCTGTAGCTTTGGAACCTGGCCTAGCCTCAAACTTGGAGATCCACCTGCCTCAAAGGCTTGCGCCACCACCGCCCAGCTTGGATTACATTTTAAAGATTGTGTTCTTTCAACATTTTAATCTTTTTCCCCTTATTCAGTAAATTACAAGGGATGAGCCTATTGGCATCTGAATCTCCCTGATGCTTTCCAGAATTTATAAATGATTATTTTTGTTTGTTTTTAATTGTGTATATATATGTGCATCTGGGCATGCGTGTGCTAGTATGGATGCACATGGAGGCCAGAAGCATCAGAGCTGTAGTTACAGGCAGTTTTCTGCCACTACATATCCTTCCTGCTGAGCCAGATCGTCAGCCCCTCCTTTCCAGAGTTTGGCTGAAATCCCAGGGACACTCTCAGTGTCTATGCAGTGGCATAAATGCCAGAACAGTAAGGAGAAAATTCTGCTGTTGTACGCTTAGTGCCAGCTGTCAGTGTTCCCAGGTAAGTGTGCTGTTACTAGGTGCTAATATATTCTTAGCATTTAAAAGAATTTATTTTTCTGTTGTAGATCTATGTGTGTCACTTGTTCTGAACCACTCTGTACTTGTTCTTCAGTGTTCAAGGTTGATTCTCAGTAGTAGAGAGCTTTTTTGTTTGTTTCTGACAGGATATCATTATGTAGACAAGGCTGGCCCCAAACTCACAGAGATATACCTGCCTCAGCCATCCAAGTGGTAGGGTTAAATGTGTGTGCCACCACTAAGATGTTTTAGTCTAAGAAGGTTTTCTTTGGTTGGGTCTATAGCTCAAGAGTAGAATGCTTGTCCAGAATGCATAAAGTCCTGAGTTCGTTCATCCTCAATGCTGCAGAAGAAATTGTGGGGAAAAAAGGAAACATTTGGAGCAAAGACATTCTAGGGTAAAAGTGTTTGCACCTTGTTGATGGGTTTTTCTTTTTCTTTTTTCTTTTTTTTTTTTTTTTTTTTTTTTTTTTTTTTTTTTTTTTTTTTTTTTTTTTTTTTTGTTTTTTTTTTTTTTTTTTGTTTTTC